TCAACTGACCCTGGTGGATGATGTGTGTGTGGGGAGGCAGCTGTGTGTGGGGATGTGTCAGAGTGTGCATCTCAGGCTAGATTTGTTGAGCTCTTTATGACCCAGGACTCTGGATAATGTGAATGTGCTTTGTTATTTAACTGGAAGATATGTTTCTTGTAACTCGGTGTCTCATTTTTGAGCATAGTTCCTCAAACTAGTGAAACAGGTGAATTTCCCTTCTTCCTCTTTATATTTTATATGTCAAACCTAAGCCTTCATGTTTGTACTTTTAAGAAAATAATGAAGAACTTCTTTGGAGAGGAGTTAAAATACTGACAATAAATTATTTTTGCTTCCGCTTTGCTGTGTTAATATTTGCTCTGTAAGCATTGACTCTCCAGGGCCTGGGTTTGGCCTGGTGTGTCCTTGCAGTAATTGGTGTTGGAAGTGACCTTTTCATGAGGGCAGCTTCCCTTTCTGAGTGAATAAGATTGAACCTGCCTGGGCTGGGTCCTCCTCTCCTTGTTCCTGTTGCAGAGGGGCTGTCTCTTCTCTCCACTTCCCTTGGGGCCCTGTGGGCATGACCAGGTGTCTGAAGACCCTGGGGCTGGAAGGAAGGGCTTGTTCCTGTCTGGAGGCAGGACTGGTTTTGGTTCTGATCTTTCCTTCTCTGTTGGAAACCACCAAGATCTTAGCACCTTGCCTCAGGTTTTGACCACTTGAAAGTCATAGGGAGGATTTTCTGTTGGCTTGACCCTTCTGCCCAAATGGTGTGGAAAGAAATGAACTTTGTGATTCAAGCATTTTGAGGTGTTTGGGGGGAAATGGCATTTATATACTGTTATGCTACCGGAGATGGATTGATTGGCTACGACACATCTTCATGATGAGCATACCACATGGTGCATAAGAAGGTTTCAACAAATATCTGTGGTATAACAGCATTTTTTTTGGATGTGAGGCTTGTGAGATCCTAGTTCCCAGACCAAGAATGGAACCCAGGCATTGGACAGCCAGGGAATTCCCAAGTGAACTATTTTGGGGGTGCCCCTCTGTGCCGTCTGCAGGAAGTTTTCTGACAGGGATCGAACCTGTGCCCTCTTCTGTGGAAGCATGGACTCCTAGTCACTGGACCACTGGGAAATCTCTCACTGAAGGACTTGAGAAGAAAACCTGGGAGTCACTTAAGTACAGACAGAAAGTATACAACAGATCAGCGGAACACGCCCTCTTCCCATCTCCAGCGAAAATTCCAGCTATGTCCCATTCTTTTCTGCCTTTCAATTTAACTTAGTTTTGCAGATTTTTTTTAATGATGTGAGTTGCAGAAGGCTACCGAATATACTAATGAGAATGATAATAAGGGAAAAACTGCTGGTCTTATTAGTGAGTCAGGCTCTGCACAAATGAAATGGGAAACAGTGGGAAAAACAAGATGTTAAAGATAAACAGTAGGACTGTGTGATGGTCAGAGAAAAGGGTGGAAAGTCTAGGTTAACTGGAGGAGGCTTTGCTATCAAGTAGGACTGGAGCTAAACTTTGAAGCAATGGTGGGATTTGAGTAGACAGATTTTCTTTCTTTCTTTTTACACATTTGTGTCTTAGGATGAGACGCATGTTTTCTTCTTTTCCCTTTAGATATGGACTCTTGCCTTATTCAAAGTCTGATTAGTGCTTCAAGAAATGGGAAAAGTCTCCCTTTCAGCTCCCATTGTTGTTTCATTGTTTTAAAATAAGCTTGTTCACACAATTACTGCATTGCCAACAGTAACTTTTCCTTTATGATCGGAGGTCATTATCCTCTTAGCATCAGAAGGCAGTTCTCTCATCTTATAGTAGGACACCAACATACGGAAAGGTGGAAGGATCAGCCCAGAATCCCACAGCTGTGGGGAGCAAAGTCCAGCCTATTGGGAAACACATGATCAGTGGTCCAACGGGTGGACACCCCAGGGTCATGCTCAGGGCAGGCTTGGCTCCATTCTGGAAATGCATGAAGAGCACAGGAGGAGGGAAGGGGATGGGCCGAGAGCCGGGCTGTCAGACCGAGCGAGACTCTGGGGTGAGCATGAGCACTCAGCGCCTTGCTCAGCGCCTCTGTTAGGAAAGTGGGACTTACACGGATCCATTTAGCAGCTGACAGATCCGGGGCGCACTCGGATCCGGGGCGCGCTCGGACCTGGGGCGCGCTCCGATCAAGTGGCTCTCAGCTAGCTTTCTGAACTCAGTAGGTTGACTTGGAGAGAACAGAGTCAGATAAATGTAAACAAGCGCTCCTTTTCCTCTGAAGGCTCCTGTGGAACCTTGGGGCCTCAACTTTCCTGTTCTACCTACACCCTTCCTTTCCTTCCATAGTGGAAGCCCCCGTCACCCAAGGTTGTCTTAAAAACATTAGCATTTGAATTTATTTGTTGTCAACGGTAGATTTTCCTGACCTATCTTTGTTTTTCTCTTGTACCTCTCTTGTGTTCTAACATAAGAATTTATTCACAGACTAAGAGATTATTTATAGCTATTAGTATGAGCATAAAGCAGAAACCACAAAGCCTGAAGATACTGCATATGCCTCTGTCAACTTTGGCTCTGTGTAGTTTTAAGATCAGCATGGGGGAGGGGAGTTTTCTGATTGTATGTGTGACTTAAGGGAGCATTTTAAATTCTCAGGCTGTCTCTAATCAAGAACAGGAATTCTTTAATTTAGGGTTGCATCCCCAAAGGAAATTGTATACAAATTTGTGTGTGTGTGTGTGTGTGTGTGTGTGGTGTCTGAAGGTACATTTTCTGTAAAAAGAGTACACTTCTTTCATTAGAAATCCTGAAATCTATGGAAAACAGATCAGCATGAAATACAGCCGCAGTAGGTATTTCAGAGTACTCCCAAAAGACTCTCTTACTCAAAAATAGTTCCCTTATCATAATTCCTTTCAATTTCATTATAAGACAGTTTTCTTTGTTTAAGCATTTATACTTAATATCTTCCCCAAATAAAGCATATTTGGGAAAAATAATATTTTTACAGGGTAAGACTCAAACAACTATAACTTACTATGTCATAACTACAAATATCAGCTTCCACAGTGGTCCAATGTCTAAGTGAAAAATCCCTGTGTAAACCCCAGTAATTATGTGAATGTCTCTAAGGAAGACTGCCAAGTGACCCTGCATCTCCAGACACATCAGCACAAATTTTTTTCTATACACGATAAAGAATTTTGTATCCCTTTGCTCGTTGACAAAATCTGTTCATAATCTGTGATAGATGATGTACATACATTGAATGAAATCCTCCTGCTTATGGGTGATGGAGCTGAGCCTCTTACATGCTCAAGTTCACAGAGCGAGGAAGAGATGAAACTAGGACTCAAATCATTAATCATCTGAATCTAGCGTACACACTCTTTGCCCTAAGCCACATTACGTCTTATACTGTATTCTCCATTACCATGCATGCCTCCTTTTGAAATTGAGTGAATCTCAGCCAAGGGTAAAAGTTAGGATTCCATGTGGAAGAATTTTGCTAAAACTAGGAAGTTAGCAGAGGACACGATATTAAGATGTGATTGGCTTAGCTCAAGACCATGGACTGACTGAAGCCTCATCAAACCTGTGTTGACACAGCCAACCTAAAGTCATTGGATTTATCCCAACAGGGCACTTAGCACATTTTAAATAGCAACACTGTTTAACTTTGGTTCACTTGGGGAGCAAAATGGTGATTAAACTCATAATGCATCTACTACTTGTCTCAACAAACTTCTTACTATTTTAACATCCCCCAAATTAGGACAATGGTTATGGGTTAAATAAAACGGGAAGTTGAAAGCACAGGTGTGCATATAGAAATAGTCTAATTTGCTGATTGTTCTTGCTCTCACCCTAAATTGTGGTTTAACATTTCCATGCCATTTTAGTAGCACCAAATCTTATGGTTACACCAAGACCCAAAACAAATTTTTGTTTAGTTTATCTATATGATTGTTTAAGAAAAGGGTCTGAAAATTTGTTTTCTCTGAAAAGGGCTCCCAAATAAATATTTTTGGCTTTGAAGGACCCGCAGTGTGTATTACAACATTTCAGCTCTCCAGAGGTTAAGAAGCCACAGGAGTATGTAGATAAATGAGCGGGCTGTGGGCTGCTGACCTTTTATTTACCAAGATAGCGAGTCAGCCAGATTTGGCCTGTGGGCCATAGTATGCTGACCCTGTTTTAAGGGCTGGGTATAATTCTAGAAACACTAAAAGAAAGAAAGGAAAATAAATAATTGAGGCAGAGGGAGAAGCGCTTGTTAGAGAAGGTTTGTGTCTGTGTGTGAGATTTTTCCAGTGTGACACTTTATTCATAGTTTATACGTGACATATTATATAACACAGATGCAATATAGTAGACCCTTCTATGTAGTATATTGGAAGAGCACCAAAGTGGAAGCCAGGAAATCAGGCTCTAGGTAAAGTTCTGCCACTCACTTGCAGTGTTGCAGTGAGCTAGTTTATCCTTTCTGGGCCAAAAAAAGATAGTGGGATTAAAGGATCTCCAATGACCTTTCTAGTCTATCTTTCTCTGATGCTATGATTTTTCCTAAGATTCCAGGGAGAAATACAAAGTTAAAAAATATGGATTAAAATATATATAAAAATCTGGCCTGGAAATTACCAGTTTAACCCGTGTAACCAACCAAGGCACCAGGGTCAATGAGTCAAAGACACTCTGCAAAGGACACTACTACTTATTATTATTTTTTAATATACATTTATTTTTACTGGAGTACAATTGCTTTACAATGTTGTGTCCATTTCTGCTGGACCGCAAAGTGAATCAGCTCTATGTATATGTATATCCCTTCCCTCTTGCACCCCCTCCCCACTGCCATCCCAGGCCTCTAGGTCATCACAGAGCATCAGGCTGAGCTCCCTGCGTTCTGCAGCAGGGCCCCACTAGCTGTCTGTTGTACACGTGGTAGTGTGTATGTGTCATTATTACTCTCCCAACTCACTCCACTCTCTCCTTCCCCTCCCCACTGCTTAGAGGCCTGGAGTGAGAGGAAAGCCACAGGCACCTACCTGGAAGGTTATGAGAGGAGTTGGGGACACAGACATATGTGGAATGAGGTTGCCCCTTTGGGTAACCCAGGGGCTCTTAATATGATGGGTGAAGCTTCCCTGTGACTTCAGAGCACAATCACATGGACATTTTGTAAGAAGAACCTGAACAAAGGAGCAGGGGACCAGGGAGTCCCTCCCACCACTGAGTAGAATGGCCCACATCCAAAGCCACCGAGAACCAAAGATGGTTACTTCCTTCTCAAAGAGTGAGTATTCGGGATAGTTGGGTGATCTTTGGATGCTGGACATTGAGGAGGATTTAGGAGGCTTTGAGGTCTGCAAACCACTTTCTACAGGGGTCTCCATAGAAAGAGCTGTCGTGTGTGTTGGGAGTGGAGAGAGGCTGAAAGTGCTCCGTGCTCCAGACCTGCTTCAACCAAAGTTCCCCACTCACGGGTTTATTTGCTGGTATTAATTGCTGGAAACAGTGACGGACTTTATTTTCTTAGGCTCCAAAATCACTGCAGAGGGTGACTGCAGCTATGAAATTAAAACACACTTGCTCCCTGGAAGAAAAGCTATGACAAACCTAGATAGCATATTAAAAAGCAGAGACATCACTTTGCCAACAAAGGTCTGTATAGTCAAAGCTATGGTTTTTCCAGTAGTCATGAATGGATGTGCGAGTTGGGCCATAAAGAAGGCTGAATGCTGAAGAATTGATGCCTTTGAGTTGTGGTGCTGGAGAAGACTCTTGGGAGTCCCTTGGAGTGCAAGGAGATCAGTCGAGCCTACAGGAAATAAATACTGAATATTCATTGGAGGGACTGATGCTGAGGCTGAAGCTCCAATACTTTGGCCACCTGGTACAAAGATCCGACTTATTAGAATAGACACTGATGCTGGGAAGGGTTGAAGGCAGGAGGAGAAGGGGACGACAGAGGGTGAGATGGTTGGATGGCATCACTGACTCAATGGACAAGAGTTTGAGCAAGCTCCGAGACATGGTGAACAACAGGGAAGCCTGGCGTGCTTCAGTCTATGGAGTCGCAACGAGTCGAACACGACTGAGCGATGGAGCAACAGCAAATTAAGCGCTGGTCCAGTCGCTTCATCAGAGATGAGAAAACGGAGCCTGAGGAGGGGGCGCGAGTGGGCGTGGCTGTCTCAGGGAGGGAGGGAAGGTTCCGCCGGGCATGAGAAGTTCATACTCGCCCTCTGGGGAGGATGGGTGCTTAGGGGCGGACGGCACGCGAAGGAGTGAGTACTCGGTCTCGGTTCCTCCCAGCGATGCTCTGGGCCTCTCAGCCTTGACGGAAACATTCTCATAAGATTCCTCTGCAGAGATCCCCGACGACCTTTTCCCGAGGACGCTGTGATTGATGAGGGTGTAGCACAGATCCTCCGAGGAGCCCTGGTCACCGTTCTCTTGCTGGGTAAAGGAGAGCCAGAATTAAGACTTGGCCTCTTGCGGTTCTTCTACTTCATCTCAACAAGGCTCAGCCTCGGGCAAAGTCTGTCCTCCATGACCACTTTCCCTTCACCTCTTGTTTATTTTTCCTAAATGGCTGCCCCACCCCAACCACCAGCCCAAGCTGCCAAACTTCCCATGCTACTCAGAGAATTCCGCCTGCTCAGGCATGTCCTCTCTTCCCCGTATCCCAGAGTGACCTCCCTTTATAATTCCCGAAGTCTCAAGACCGTGAGGGCAGCCATCCTTGTATAAGAGAACAATCTAAAGACAGCTTAAAATGCTTGGGTTATGATGTTTAACCACCCACTCTAGAGATATTTGCATTATTAAAGGAGAATTCACTCAATTGAAGGTCTCCTTCAGTGAAATCTCAGGAGATAAACAGCAAAACAGCAAGGGACAGGAGAAGGAGCATGGATTTGGAAGCAAGACTTTTGATCCATGCTTCTGCCATCTTGTCAGCTGTCTGGCTTTGAGGGAATATCACTTAGTCCTTCTATAAAATGGATAGGAAAACAATAGTACCAATCTTATAGTGTTGTGACAGTTACATGAGATGATGCATGTGAAGCATTCAGCGCACATAAACTGGCATAAACTGCCCGGCATAAACTAAATGCTCAATAAATATGAGTTCCTTTCAATAAACTGTGCAACAGAAGTGGCCATAGCTCCTGCTCCCAGTCTCCGCTACGCCCCTGGGCCCACAAGCTCTGGCATCTAAAGGATTCAGTGTTACGGTCACGAGGGGTCTTGGAGGTCTTCTCCTGCTACCTGAAGTATGCGTTTCTACTGTCATCTCAGAAAAAGTCTCAGAGATGTTTGGATTACCTGAATGGGAGCAGATGATGTTTCTTCATCTGGAGAAAGAAAATACACTTAATGAATTTCAGGTCATGGGAAGATTTCTGGGAGGGGAGGAGAGGGGCACTGAAAGATAAGCAACCAGAAAATCAAGGAACAGCTAGGGTTCCTTCCTGGGCTATCCTGATCTTCAACACATCCCTGGTCATCTAAACAAGAAACAGTCAAATGTGCTGAGAGGCCAAGTAGAAGGAAAACATTCAGTGGGTCTTGGACAGGATGTCACACTTCCCTCCTTTCTCACTCCTTTTCTTCTCTGTCCCTCCTTAGCCAGAATTCATTGCATGCCTGGTGGTGGTGATTTAGTCACTCAGTCGTGTCTGACTCTTGTGACCCTATGAACTGTAGCCTGCCAGGCTTCTCTGCCCGTGGAATTTCCCAGGCAGGAATACGGGAGTGGGTTGCCATTTCCTCCTCCAGGGGATCTTCCCAACCCATGGATCAAACCCGGGGCTCCTGCAGGCAGATTCTTTACCGACTGAGCCACCAGGGCATGCCTACTGCGTACCAAGAATTAGGGAGAAAAAGAAGAATCAGAGATAGACCCTGTCCTCAAGTCACTCATAGGCTAGCCACAAGGCAGAGGAAGGCTGTTTCTACTGTAGGTGACAGGGGATGATGGCGGAGTAGAAGCTGGTGCTCAAGAATAGTTCTACAGAAAAGGAAACTCTCAGACTGAACCACTTTCGAGACCTGTGACAGAAACAAACAAAAGCAGGCCAATTGCTAAAATGTCAACGTACTTAAGACCAGCAGGTTCTGGCCACTCAGCAAAGAGGGAAACACACCAGCTCAATAAGCAAACAAGAGCATTCAATGGAAGCCTCAAGACATCACCCTACCCTGAAGATAGGTGTGCCCATTTTAAAAAACGAGGGTTGTTGAAGGAACTTCTGAAAAAAAATCAAGCATACTAACATTCACGTTTTAGGGATCCCTTAAGGAGAAGAGTGAGAGAAAGAGGCAGAAAATATATTTAAAGAAATAATGGCTGAAAACTTCCCTAATCTGGAGAGGGAAACAGGCATCCTGGTTCAGGAAGCAACAAGATGGAACCCAAAGTGATCCAAACCAAGACATATCATAATTAAAATGACAAAGTTAAAGAGAGAATTTTAAGGCAGCTAGAAAAAAACAGGAAGTCACATCAAGGGAGTTCCTATAAGACTATCAGCTGGTTTTTTAGCAGAAACTTTCCAGGGGAGTGGCATGATATATTTAAACTGCTGAAAGGAAAAACCTTACAACCCAAGAAAACTCTACCCAGCAAGGTTATTATTCAGAATTGAAGGAAAGATAAAATTTCCCAGACAAGCAAAAAGTAAAGAGTTTATCACCACTAGATTGACCTTATAGGAAATATTTAAGGATCTTCTTTAAGCAAAGATTATAACTCAAGATGATATACAAAAGAAAATATCTCACTGGTAAAGGCAAATATATAGCAAAGCCATTGTATCAGTCACTTAAAAAGCTAGTATGAAGCTTGAAAGACCAAAGTAGTAAAATCAACTACAGTAAGAGATTGAGGGATACACAGAATAAAAATGTAAAATATGAACAAAAAATAAACGTAGGTGTGGAGTGGTGAGAATATAGTGCTTTTAGAATGCTTTCAAACTTAAGTGACAATCAGCTTAAAACTAATTGGAGAGATGGATAAATTCCTAGAAACATCCAACCTTCCAAGACTGATTCAGAAAGAAATAGAAAATATGAACAGACAAATTACTAGTAAAGAAATTGAATCAATAAAAAAACAAAAACAAAAACTCTCAACAAACAAAAGCCTATGACCAGATGGCCTCACAAGTGAATTTTATCAAACATTTAAAGAAGAGTTAATACCTAGCCTTCTCAAATTAGTCCAAACTATTGAAGATGAAGGAATGTTTCCACATGCATTTTACAAGGTCTGCATTACCCTGATCCATAAACCAGACAATGATACCACAGGAAAAAAATATATAGGCCAATTTCCCTGATGAATATAGATGTAAAAATCCTCAACAAAATATTAAGAAACTAAAATTCAGTAATACATTAAAAAAATCATATACCATGGTCAAGTGGAATTTATTCCAGTGGATAATTCCAAGTGGAATTATCCCATGGATAATTCAATATACACAAATCAATGTGGTATACCACATAAACAAAATGAAAAATAAAAATCATATGATCACCTCAACAGTTACAAACAAAGCATTTGACAAAATTTAACATCCATTTATGATAAAAACTCTCAGTAAACTGATTATAGAGGGAACATACCTCAGTATAATAATGGCGATATATGTCAAGCCCAGAGCTAACATCATGCTCAATGATGAGAAGCTGAAGTCTTTTCCCTTAAGATCAGAAACAATACAAGTATGCCCAACACTTACCACTTTTGTTCAACATAATACTGGAAGTTTAGCCCCAGCAACCAGAAAAGAAAAACAGATAAAGGGCATGCAAATTAGAAGAGAAAAAATAAAACTATCATTCTTTGGAGATGATATAATATATAGAAAACCCTAAAGATTCTACCAGAAAACTGTTAGAATGGATAAATTCATTACGTTGCAAGGATACAAAACTAGCACACAGAAATCTGTTGCATTTCTATACATTAATAGCAAACTATCAGAAATTAAGAAAACAATCTTAGTTACAATTGTATCAAGAAGAATAAAATACCTAGGAATAAATCTAACCCAGGAGGTAAAAGATTTGTATTCTGAAAGCTATAAGACATGGATAAAAGAAATTGAAGATGACACATAAAAAATGGAAAGATATACTGTTCTCATGAATTGGAAGAACTAATATTGTTTTTCACAGAACTGGAATAAATGATCCTAAATTTTGTATGAAAGCACAAAAGATGCAGGATAGCCAAGCAGTCTTGAGGAAGAAAAACAAAGCTGGAGGTATCGTGGTCAGTGATTTCAAACTAGACTATATTATTATACTATGTTACTGCTAGTTTTCTAGTGGCTCAGTGGTAAAGAATTTGCCTGTCATGCAGGAGACTGCCTGAAATGCAGGAGATGCAGGTTTGATCCCTGGGTTGTGAAGATCCCCTGGAGAAGGCAATGACAACCAACTCCAGAATTCTTGCCTGGGAGGCCCTATGGACAGAGGAGCCGGGCAGACTACAGTCCATGTGGTCACAAGAATTGAACAGTACCTAGCAACTAAACCACTACCAACATGCTACTGATATAGTAGTACTATGGTACTACTATTAACATGATACTACCATTCTGGCTAGTATTAAAAAGACAACAAATAACACTGTTGTCAAGGATGTGGAGAAATGGGAATCTTTTTGCACAGTTGGTGGGATTGTAAATTGCTGCAGCGTCTATGGAAAACAGTATGGAGTTTCCTCAAAAAATTAAATATGCAACTATCATACTATCCAGAAATTCCACTTCTGAGTACTGATACAAAGAAAACAAAAGTGCTAATTTGAAAAGATATATGCACCCCAAAGTTCTTTGCAGCATTATTTACAAAAGCCAGGATAGGGAAGGAACCTAAGTATTCCTCGATAGATGAATGGATGAAGAAGATGTGGTATATGTATATGCAAGGAAATATATATGTGGTATATGTATATGCAAGGAAATATATATGTGGTATATGTATATGCAAGGAAGATGTGGTATGTGTATATGCAAGGAAATATTACTCAGCCATAAAAAGAATGGAATTTTGCCATTTTCAACAACATGGATGAATCTAGATGGCATTATGCTGAGTGAAGTCAAAGAGAGAAAAATATCATGATTTCGTTCATATGTAGATCTAGAAATAAGAACAAATGAACAAACACAACAAAACAGAAACAGACTCATAGATACAGAGAACAAACTGGTGGTTACCAGAGGGAAGGGGGTGGGGGTACGAGCTAGTAGGTAAAAGAACTTAAAAGGTACAAACACCCAATTATAAATAAGGCATGAGGGCATACCGTGCAGTATAGGGAAGACTGTGAATAGGACTATAACTTATAATTCTGTATGGTGACAGCAAGTAACTAGATCATCTTGACGTGTAAAATTAAATGCACCTGAAACTAATGTTGTAAGTCAACAACTTCAATAGAATTTTTTAAAAAGTGTCTGTGAGTTTCAGCATTAGAGGTCTTATTTCTACTATTAGAGGTCTATTCCTATTTCTGTTTTGCTTTGATTGAGACTGGGGTTTCCTGACACCCACAACTCCCCTGGGTGAAGTGGCTAGAGGTGGGAGGGCTGTACTATTTTTTTTACACACTTACAGGGCTCATTTTTAAAATGAGTTCAGGGTGAACGAACCAGGCTCTCCTCTTTAAACCCAGGAAGGCAAAAGCAAAACTCATTTCCTTTTCTTCTTTGGAAACACTGTGGCCTTGTCCTCCTGCCCCCGATGTCCCAGTTAGAGGTGGCACCGTTCACCACCCTCTCCTCTGAATGCTTCTGTCTCCTTCATTCCAACCCTGCTTCCCTCGCCACTGGCCTCCTAGGTGGTCTCCCAGCATCCATTTTTGCCACTGTCTACTGTTATCTGTCCTCTGAACAGCAAACTGGGTGATGTCTTTGATGCAAATACTATCATACTTGGCCCTTGTTTAAAGCCTTTCAGTGCCTCCTGTAACTCGCAAGATGAAAAGATCCTAACGAGAAGCTTGGTCCCAAGGTCCCACTCCTCCTGTGCGTGCTCTGTGCCCACGCTGGCCTCCTTGCAGTTTCTTACAGGTGCCTTGTGCCCACACCTTTGGCTTTTATTGTTTCCATTTAACTCCTTCAGCCTGCAGACCTCAGGAGATACGGGAAGGCTATGGAGTTCAGTAAGTCAATTCTTCCCTCAGTGAGCTCCTGGTTTAGTGGCGATAGAGATATGCAATGGGACGAACAGCAGCAAATGTGTAAGTATCATACTAGATGTATGCCCGAGGTGCTTTGGGAGCAGAGGGAAGGAGAAAAGCTAAGTCTGTCAAAAGTAAAAATGATGTGAAAGCAATGACTTACTTTGCTTTCGGGAGTCTTGTCGTGCTTCAGAAATGTGTATTTTTTTCCTGTAAAAGAAAAAGAAAGTAAATTGGTTGTTTTATTATTCAGAAACTCTCAAAGAGAGTTATACTCAACTATAAAAACTCACGTCTAACTCATTTGTTAAAGTTATAAGGCTTTTATAATGCTTCCTTCAGCCAGAGAAACAAGAAGATAGGAAAAAAGGAAAACTGGAAACAAGACTGAGTAGAAACCTACTCTTTTGTGTTTCTCTCTCTCCCTCTGTCACCTCCCTTCTCCCTTTTCTGAGGCTGGTATGGAATTGACTTATAAGCAGACAACGGTGGCGATGATGTAGGTAACATTTTTGGAGTTTTCTTTCCTGACAAAATACCAATTTCTTTAGGAGCCATTGTTATATACAATCTCAACCTCAGTCTCAGTATGTGATATCTAAACAATCAAGCCAGCAAGCCAACACCTCCCACAAAAGCCCTCAGGAAAACACAGTGTGAGTATCATGGCCGCCAGTTATCGTCTCAGGGGACAAGAGCAATGCCTGCCCTAAGGAGAATGGCCATAAGTCCTGGTTAGCACAGACAGTTTACTTATGTCACCATCAACCACTTAGTGACCCTTACCTATTTTTAGCCTCCTTTCATTTGCAGAAGTTTTCTGGTCTGGACAATGAATTATACATCATCCTGGCTACGCCTTCTCTGTGCCTCTGTCCCAGGAGCTTGCTGGGATGTGCAGGTGACTCAGGGGCCTTTCTTTACTTCAGTAGCCAGTTTCATCCTTGCTTCTGAGACTTTCCCATTTGAAGGATGTGTAACCACCCATAAGACTATTGTTCCTGTTTCTCACCAAACTTGAAGTGTGGTTTTCTCTGACTGATGCTAGTGCCTGCTTCCACCTTGGCCACAGCCAGTGGGAAATTCACAGGTAACTTACAGCAAACACCACACTGAAACTACACTCACAGGAAAACAACCCCTGAAAAGAGTTCTCCACTCACCATGGAAGGCAGAAACACCCTTCAGCGATGTGGCAGTCCGAGCATCTAAAATACCCAAGAAATGATACATATCACAGGTTTAGTTTCTGCAACTTTGTTATGGTGACTCCCTTCCCTTTGTCATTTCTGTGGAAGACCTTTTTTTTCCCCTCCCCCAAGAGAATATTCATTCTAGGTGAATTGGACACATCTATCACTCCAGAATGCTTTCATCCTCCCAGGACACTAATTGGACCTTTGGAAATATGACCTTTATCAACTCCTAATCAGAGAAGGAACTTGCTGCTTGTGTTCCTAGCAAACGCTTGCTCACCCCCAGTTCCAGTAATATATGTCGCCTCTTGTGAGGAAGGACACACAGTTATCCCTAGGAAATCTAAGTAAAATTGTGTGGACAATTTAGAAATTTCTTTTAGGCATGGATTAGACAATATTTACATAGGAGCCTGCTGCACTCTGAACTTCTCCTATTTATACTCTATTATATTAATATTTAATATATTTATTAATTTTAAGACTTTATTTTCTTGGGCTCCAAAATCACTGCAGATGGTACCTGCAGCCATGAAATTAAAACACGCTTGCTCCTTGGAAGAAAAGCTATGACCAACCTAAACAGCATATTAAAAAGCAGAGACATTACTTTGCCAACAAAGGTCCATCTAGTCAAAGGTATGGTTTTTCCAGTAGTCACGTATGGATGTGAGAGTTGGACTATAAAGAAAGCTGAGCACCGAAGAATTGATGCTTTTGAACTGTGGCATTGGAGAAGACTCTTGAGACTCCCTTGGACTGCAAGGAGATCCAACCAGTCTGTCCTAAAGAACATCAGCCCTGAAAATTCATTGGAAGGACTGACGCTGAAGCTGAAACTCCAATAGTTTGGCCACCTGATGTGAAGAACTGACTCATTGGAAAAGTCCGTGATGCTGGAAAAGATTGAAAGCAGGAGGAGAAGGGGACGACAAAGGATGAGATGGTTGGATGGCATCACTGACTCGATGGACATGAGTTTGAGCAAGCTCTGGGAGTTGGTGATGGACAGGGAAGCATGGCATGCTGCAGTCCATGGGGTCACAAAGAGTCAGACACGACTGAGTGACTGAACTACTATATTAATATTTGTCTGCTCACTGGTCTATGTCTTATACTAGAACACGAGTTTCACAAGGGCAGGGACCAAGTCTGTCTGTTCATCATGGTACAGATCACCAGCATATGCTACAGTGTCTGGCACATAGTAAATGTATTTTCAATAAGTGTCTGATAAATGAAGGAGTAGCTAAGAGCAGAGCAACTCTAACTGGCTCAGACCGTCAGGTCTGCCTTCCTGACCCCGAGGTAGCTGTATAAGGGGTTCCCTGGCGGCTCAGTGGCGAAGAATCCTCCTGCCCGTGCAGGAGACTGGGGTTCAGTCACTGGGCTGGGAAGACCCCCTGGTGAAGGAAATGACAACTACTTCAGTATTCTTGCCTAGAATGCAAAAATCTATTGCACTAAGTGTAAGGGTCAAATGAAGTTAAATATGGACAAAAGCTATTTTTAAACTGGTTATTTCCCCCAGTCAACTTTTCTGCAGTGTATTTTTACATTTCAGTTTGGAGTTTTGGTCTAGGGTAGGTTCAGACAACCTTCTCTGAAACCAGATGAATCTCTACAATGTGGGCTGGTGGTGATTTAGTCACTAAGTCATGTCTGACTCTTGCAATGCCATGAACTATAGCCTGCCAGATTCCTCTGTTCACGGAATTCCCCAGGCAATAATACTGTGTGGGTTGCTATTTCCTTCTCCAGGGGATCTTCCTGAGCCAGGGATCAAACCTGGTTTTCTTGCATTGCAGGTGAATTCTTTACTAAATGAGCCACGTGGGAAGTCCTACAACGTGGGCTACATGCTAGCACTTCCAGGTTCCTTTCTCTTAACACAAAGCTTCCCTGGCCCCCAAAATCTGCCCAGTCTCTCCCTCCTTATAATGCCCATGGCCCTACTTGTCTGTTTCATCATTTGGACTGATTACTTTCACATACGTCCAGTGATACACACCAAATATATGAGCATTTGTTTGTACTGAAGAAAAACACCCTTTTTATGGGGGGGTGCCTATGTAGGCTTTGACTGTGCAGTGGCTTTTTCAAAAGCTTCTCCTGAAACCATGGGAAAAGTGCAGATAACTCTTCAAGCCACAGAACAACTGGCTCTACTGCACTTTGGGATTCTTGGATTCAGGGACACTCATTTCATATTTTAGTGTTTCCCTGACACTCAAAAGTCCCGGTCAGGGGACTTCCCTGGTGGTCCAGTGGCTCAGACTCTGCTCCCAACACAGGGGGCCCGGGTTCAATCTTTGATCAGGGAACTAGATCCCACAAGCCACAACTAATAGTTTGCATACCACAACTAAGACTTGACGAAGCCAAATAAATAAAATTAAGGGGAAAAAAAAGACCTGATCAGAAGGGGCTGATGAGGAAGGCTGCATTTAAGAGCATCATGGTAATCACAGGTGTCTCTCTCCCCAAAACTTTCAACAACTGTAGCCATGTGGGGAATGTGGTTACCTCAGAAATAGAAACTCAGAGCTTAAAGTGAAATGGCCAGAATGGGGCTGGAGAAGAAAGGGACATGAGATTAACAGACAAAGAGACAATAGGAAATAAGGGTCTTCTTTCCAGTTCTATGGGCCATACTAGGTTCCCAGCAAAATGGCACATCTCCCGTCCAAAGGTTCAGAGTATTTTTGTCTTTTGTCTTGTCTTTGCATTTACTATTGTTACAACTGCTGTTGGGTTGAAGCAGGGTCTTCCATTCTGGGCTGTGTGCAGCCCAGGACCTAACAAACGTCATTCCTCACAGGTGAAGCCTGGGAGAATTGGTGCTGGGTTTGGTCTCACCTGGAAAGTCTCAGTTTGGGGCCTTGACTTCTCAGATTCCAGGGCGTTTCTTGAGTGCCCTGCTGCCACCTACAACTCGGCATACCAAGATGAGCTAAGCCTTTGCTCTCCAGCTTCCCACCTTGCTTGATCATTTTTCCAGCCTTCCTCACTTGTTATTTGTGGGTGAAACCCCAGCATTGCCTTGGCTTCCTCTTGCTGCCCTTCCATTTGTGAATATGCCCTTCTAAAGAACACACCCCAGTCTGTCCTCGACTCGACCTCCTCTCCATTGCCACTGTAGCAGGCCCCCCAGTTTTCTCCAGCAACTGCTGTGCACAGCCAGGCCCCAATCCTTTTCCCCCAAACGCAGGCCTCCTTGTGACTGCGAGAATGCCAGTGCGCCCAGAGGCCTGTCTGCTCAGCTCGGTTTCGGGGACCCTGCTCTCAGGACTGGAAGGGCTCAGGCCTTGTCTCACGCACACTGCAGTTTTCACAGAAAGTACCAAGGCAGAGAGCACAGGATACAAGGGAAGGGGAGAATGAAATAAAGAAAATAAACTGACTCAAAGTTTGGGTTGGGTTTCTGTGTAACTGTCCTTTTACTTGTGGGGACTGTGGGGTATAGAGGAAAGCAAACTAAAAGCTAAGCATGATTCACCATGTGCTCACTATATATATGGGCACACGGACTGTAAATGCGACTTGTTTTACATGTACATTACTTACTATGCATACTACTTATTAAGTGTAAGTAACATACACATTTTTTATGTTATATTTCATTTAATCCCAGAATAAACCCATGAGGTAGACATTGTGAGTCTATGTCTTGTCCATGAAGAAACTGAGATGAAAAAGCTTATGCAACTTGTCTGAGGACAGGTAAATGAGAATAAGAGGGAAAACTGAGTTTGCTCCTGGCAGACTCTACCTCTGAGACTCTGAGCTCCTTTCAATGAAGGGAATCGGTGCCATTCTGCCTAATGAGGGGGAATTTCCTGGATTTTTGTAACAATTTTGATCTGGAGAGACAAGGTGGAGTGTGTTGATTGGATGATAACCAGGTGTTAAGGGTGAAGTTGAAAATCAGATCCAAGTAAATATGAGACTTTTGAGTATATTAAGGAAGATTTTTTTTTAATTAATTAATTAATTTATTTATTTATTTTTTATCACAACCCTAGTGTATCTTTTCTTTTTTTTTTTTTTTTAACATGTATTCCCCATCCCGGTCCCCCCTCCCACCTCCCTCTCCACCCAATCCCTCTGGGTCTTCCCAGTGCACCAGGCCTGAGCACTTGTCTCATGCACCCAGCCTGGGCTGGTGAACTGTTTCACCCTAGATAATATACGTGTTTCAATGCTGTTCTCTTGAAACATCCCACCCTCGCCTTCTCCCAGAGTCCACAAGTCTGTTCTATACATAGGAGTCTCTTTTTCTGTTTTGCACATAGGGTTATCGTTACCATCTTTCTAAATTCCATATATATGTGTTAGTATACTGTAAGGACATGGAAGCAACCTAGATGCCCATCAGCAGATGAATGGATGAGGAAGCTGTGGTACATATACACCATGGAATATTACTCAGCCATTAAAAAGAATTCATTTGAATCAGTTCTAATGAGATGGATGAAACTGGAGCCCATTATACAGAGCGAAGTAAGCCAGAAAGATAAAGACCATTACAGTATACTAAGGAAGATATTTTCAATCGGTATAGAATTGAAGATTCTGGGCCAAGTAATTAGGTGGAAAAATACATATTTCTATCTGACATCATATAATGAGTGTATGATGCTAAAATGTAAAGCAATAAAACCATGAAAATTATACTGTGGATCTGTCTTATCTTGGGATGAGGAAATAATTTTAAGCATAAATTGGTAGAAAGCAAAAAGCTTTCTAGATTTAATGCAATTATGTTTAAACATATAAGAATAACAAAAATGCTGTATGACACAAGACACATGGACTGGAAAAATAATTTTTGTAATATTTATGATAAAGGGCTAATTTCTTCAAGTAAAAATATCTTTTACAATCAATAAAAGAAAGTACACCAAAATCCAAAACAAAAATTGGCAAAAGGAGTATTAGCCCTTCATAGATGAAGAAATACAAATCTCTGATAAATAAAGACAGTAAAATTAAGATAGCACTTCTAATGTTATAAGTAGTTTTGTGATTTTCCAGTTTACTTTCTTGTTTATATTTTATTCTCCAATTTCTTTTACAGCAAACATGTATTAATGTCACATTTCTTCACCCTCTCACCAAAGTTCTAAAAAACAAAATTATAGATGTAACATCAGTCTTAACTTTCTGTCCATCATATCTGTATTTTGTTTTATTTTTCTTTTCAAGACATTTATTTAGGTTTCCAAGCATTCATTCAGCATTAATTGAGTGCCTACTCTATGTCAGAAACAATGTTAGAAAACACAAATTCAAAGATGAATAAGAAACAGTCTCTACTTTTGAGGACCTCACGTCTAGACATAAAAATAGGGATTTATAATCTGATAGAAGAATGCAAGAGGTTCAGATTGGCAAAGGGCTGGGAGTATCTGGAGAGAAGCCCTAGACAACACTGAGCCTCATGGAGGGCCAGAGACATTCCATGGCCTTGCCAAGACTCCTTTTGTCAGGCAGCTTTTTGGATCCTATGTTCAAGATCTCAGTAGCATGAACTGAGCTCTGGGACACCAAACATAATCCTGTAAAGACCACCTTGCACCTTGCCAGCTAACTGATTTTCACCATCTCACTTTTTACTGGAGGGACTCCTTTGTTTAGAGTGATACTAATTTTTACAGTAAAAAAAAAGAAAGAAAGCGAAGTCACTCAGTCGTGTCCAACTCTTTGCGACCCCATGGACTGTAGCCTACAAGGCTCCTCCGTCCATGGAATTTTCTAAGCAAGAGTACTGGAGTGGGTTGCTATTTCCCTCTCCAAGGGATCTTCCCAACCCAGGGACTGAACCCAGGTCACCAGCATTGCAAGCAGACAATTCTACTGCTTGAGCCACCAAGGAAGCCATTTTTACAGTGGCTGCTGCTAATGAAGGTGATGGTCAAACTAACTAGTATCTCTTAATTACTGAACCTGACTGTGTACCATGGGTTTGAGCAAGCTCTGGAAGTTGGTGATGGACAGAGAAACTTGATGCACTGCAGTCCATGGGGTTGCAAAGACCTGGATGCGACTGAGCGAGTGAACTAAACTGATCTGACTCACCAGCCCAGGTTGGGTGCATGAGACAAGTGCTCGGGCCTGGTGCACTGGGAAGACCCAGAGGGATTGGGTGGAGAGGGAGGTGGGAGGGGGGACCGGGATGGGGAATACATGTAAATCCATGGCTAATTCATCTCAATGTATGACAAAACCACTGCAATGATGTAAAGTAATTAGCCTCCAACTAATAAAAATAAATGAAAAAAAAAAAAAATAAACTGATCTGACGTACCAGGTATCATGCCAGCATCACACACACTAGACTCCTCCAAAGTAAGTATTGTGCTACTAATTCCACTTAAAATAATGAAACTAAGGTTTAGAAAAAAGTTAAGCCAAGTTCCCTACCAATTTCAATGTCCTCCACTTACCCATTGCAAGGGTTGTATACCAGCTAAGGTCTTACGCTATCAGAAAGTTTGCTGTTTCAAGTTCTGAAGTGAAGAGAAGTGAAAGTCGCTCAGTCGTGTCTGACTCTTTGCAACCCCATGGACTGTAGTCTCCCAGGCTCCTCAGTCAATGGCATTCTCCAGGCAAGAATACTGGAGTGGGTAGCTGTTCCCTTTTCCAGGAGATCTTCCCAGCCCAGAGATCAAACCCAGGTCTCCCACACTGCAGGCGGGTCTACCATCTGAGCCACCTGGGAAGCCAAGCCCACTGGTGTGGGTGGCCAGGTCTCCAGCACTGCAGGCAAATTCTTCACCATTTGAACCACCAGAGAGGCCCACGAAACTGGAGTGGACAGCCTATCCCTTCTCCAGAGGATTTTCCTGACCCAGGAATCAAGCTGGGGTCTCCTTCATTGCAGGCAGATTCTTTACCAGCTGAGCTCCCAGGGCAGTGGTGTTTTTAATGCTCTTTGTGGGGGCATTAAGAGCTCAAAAGAGTATCCCCTTCCTGCCCCAGAAAGTTGCTCCGTTTCTTAGAGAAGCCTGCACAGAACTTCCTTGATTAAGTCTTGCCTTCCAGCGGTCCTGCACCCGTGGTTACTATGATTCTGGGAAGAAGGCCGCCGATAAGAAACTGAGCATGGTCACCAGCATGCAGCAGGCACCTCATGCTTGTCAGTCCCTTACCTGGCTGCCTTCTCCCAGCCAGCAAACCTCTTCTCCTTCCGGCCCTGTTGCCCTGACCGCCTCTCCTGCTCCCCCTCAGGGAGTTTGGACTCACCTGTTTTCTCTTGGCAGCAAGTTCCCCATCCTCTCAGTCCTCTCGGGGCGTCACCTCGGCCTGCCCAGCAGGCAGGCTGCTCCTGACAGAGGCTGCGTTGCTCTGGCCACCAGGGCGGAGGGAGCTGAGGGGAGTGTGCCCTCTGAGGAGGGGAGGAGGAGCCCCGGGGGGAGGAGATTCGGACGTGCACACAGGCACAGCTTCCTAAAATGTCAGAGGCTGAATGAACCAGGCTATGTTTTTTAACCAGAAGCTGTTAGTCACTGAGGGCTTTGAACAAATGGGGAAGCCCCATCTGCAATTGTAAACAGGTCATAGGGGCTTTTCACTTCAGACACCTAAACGTATTAGATCACTTTGTAGTCCTAGAAACATCAGAAGGGGAACTTCGTTTTAAAACAAAAAAGCTTAAAAATCAAGCCATAGACCAGTAGAAAATATTAGCAAAACATACATCTGATAAAAAGGTTTTTATCCAAATCATGCAAAGAACTCTCAAGACTCACTAGGAATAGAACAAACATCAAATAAGATGGGCAAGATGGGCAGAGTATTTGAAAAAATATTCATCCAAGAAAATATACAGATGGCAAACAGATTCATGAAAAGATGCTGAACATCATAGCCATTGCGGGTGTAATGATGCAAACCAAAACCACAAAGCAGTACTTTTGCACACCCATTAGAGTGGCTAACATTTGAAAATGAAAACAAAAACTGATAATACTAAGTCCTGACAAGGAAATCAGAACATCTGAAAGTCTCATGTATTGCTGGTGGGAATGCAAAATGTTTCAACCTCTTCGGAAAACAGTATGGCATATCCCTACCATACAACCCAGCTCCTAGGCATTAACCCAAATGAAATAAGAAATCAAGAACTCTAAGAACTTGTATGCATATGTTTATATCTTCTTTACTCATAATTACCAAATAAAACCCAAAGCCTTTGACTGTGTGGATCACAATAAACTGGAAAATTCTGAAAGAGATGGGAATACCAGACCACCTGACCTGCCTCTTGAGAAACCTGTATGCAGGTCAGGAAGCAACAGTTAGAACTGGACATGGAACAACAGACTGGTTCCAAATAGGAAAAGGAGTGTGTCAAGGCTGTATATTGTCACCCTGCTTATTTAACTTATATGCAGAGTACATCATGAGAAATGCTCGGCTGGAGGAAGTACAAGCTGGAATCAAGATTGCCAGGAGAAGTATCAATAACCTCAGATATGCAGATGACACCACCCTTATGGCAGAAAGTGAAGAGGAACTAAAGTGCCTCTTGATGAAAGTGAAAGAGGAGAGTGAAAAAGTTAGCTTAAAGCTCAACATTCAGAAAACTAAGATCATGGCATCTGGTCCCATCACTTCATGGCAAATAGATGGGGAAACAGTGGAAACAGTAGCTGAATTTATTTTTCTGGGCTCCAAAATCCCTGCAGATGGTGACTGCAGCCATGAAATTAAAAGACGCTTACTCCTTGGAAGGAAAGTTATGATGAACCTAGATAGCATATTAAAAAGCAGAGACATTACTTTGTCCACAAAGGTCCGTCTAGTCAAGGCTATGGTTTTTCCAGTGGTCATGTATGGATGTGAGAATTGGACTATAAAGAAAGCTGAGCACCAAAGAATTGATGCTTTTGAACTGTGGTGTTGGAGAAGACTCTTGAGAGCCCCTTGGACTGCAAGGAGATCCAACCAGTCCATCCTGAAGGAGATCAGTCCTGGGTGTTAATTGGAAGGACTGATGTTGAAGCTGAAACTCCAGTTTTGGCCATCTCATGCGAAGAGCTGACTCATTGGAAAAGATCCTGATGCTGGGAGGGATTGGGGGCAGGAGGAGAACGGGGCGACAGAGGATGAGATGGTTGGATGGCATTACTGACACAATGGACATGGGTTTGGGTGGGCTCTGGGAGTTGGTGATAGACAGGGAGGCCTGGCATGCTGTGGTTCACGGGGTTGCAAAGAGTCGGAGACGACTGAGTGACTGAACTGAACTGAACTGAACTCATAATTGCCAAATAAAACCAAACCCTGGAAACAACCCAAGTAATCTCAAGTAGTAAATATCTAAACAAACTGTGTCACATTCACATGATGGGATTTGGCCCAGTAATAAAAAGGAATGGGCTACTAATATCATACTTTTTATAATATATATTAAGAGGAGGAGAAGGGGACAACAGGGGATGAAATTGTCAGATGATATCACTGACTTAGTGGACCTGAGTTTGAATAAACTCTGGGAGATAGTGAAGGATAGGGGAGCCTGACATGCTGCAGTCCACGGCATCACAAAGGGTCAGACATGACTTAGGGACTGAGCAACAGCAACTAATATACAACAACATGGACAGATCGCAAATGAATGAGTGGAAGAGTCCAGTTTTAAAGCCTATATTTTGTGACATTCAGGATGAGGCAAAACTGTAGGGACAGAAAACACACCAGTGGCGGCCAGGAGAAGGAGTAGGAGAAGGTTTGAACTTCTAGGACCAGGAAGTTTTTGGTGGTTGTTGTTCTGTATCTTGCGGTGGTGGTGGCATGACGGTATGCATTATGATTCACAGGGCTGTATACCCAAAAGTGTACATTTTACTATATGTAAATTATATCTCAACAGAGAGAGATTAAAAAACTGGAAGAAATTAACTTGGGGACAGGAATTATGGATTTTTAAAGTTATTCTTATAGTTGGTGATTGGTTCCAGTTTGGTCACTTATCTGTTTCTTCACTCCTTCAGCAATTATATATTGAGCGCCTACTGTATGTTGATCACTGTGGATTCTGTGGTGAACAAAGCAGATATAAGCCTGCCCTCATGGACCTCCTTGTATTGCTTGTCCTGGAGTAATGTAGAAGTCATACCTGCAACAGAGGGCAGTGTGGGGAGGCAGCTCAGAAGAAGTCACGTTGGAGAAGCTGGGTATTAGTTGTTTAACACCAGACGATCACTTGTGCCCCTGGGGTGCCCTCCAGGCCGCCTCTGTGAAGGGTTTCCTGGAGCAGTTTCTCACAAACTGACTGAGAGGTGTACAAGCAATCCAGGAATGTTTCTTCCAGGCCCTAGGGGGCCATCTTTTGAAAATTCAATCGCCTTAGAAGATAAGGCCCTTATCTCCCAGTTTTCCTGGGAGGAGAGGCGTCAAAGCTAGTTCCTGGCTCCACGTGGCAAACCTACCCCCAAGTAAAACTATAAGAGGAAATTTGCTCTTTTAAGGACAATCAGCAAGCATATTACCAAATGAAGTCAGGATAACTAATGTGTGACAAATAATGCACTTCTCTTATTTGAGGACTAGACATTATTTATTCTGAAAAAAATGTTTATAACATTTTGAATTATTTTGGCTATATATTAATAAAAAGGCATGATTTCTTTAGTTTTGTAATCTCCTTAGTGGATAGCCAATGACCCTCATTACATTCTGGTTTAATATTTATTCAATATGCCAGCTTTCCCAGAGCACAGATTACCTTATTCTTGATCACCCTGAACTCCTTTCAGGGTGTGTTGAAGGTCAGAAACCGCAGTGGCTAACGACTCAGTCCTTGCAGAACCAGATGGCGAGTGATCTTTAGTTGGCGCTTTCCACTCCAGTCTGACTTTAGCTGCCCAGGCAGGTTAGAGGCCCTTTGGATGATAGTGATTCTTTGAAATTTTTCAGTTTCAGAAACTGGATGGCAGAAATCTAGCTCTGCTAAGCTGCCAAGTCACGCCAGTCGCGTCCGACTCCTCGCCACCCCATGGGCGGCAGCCCACCAGGCTCCTCCGTTCACGGGATTTCCCAGGCGAGAGCACTGGAGGGGGTTGCCTTTGCCTTCTCCAGATCCAGGTAGTCCTTTTTAGAGTTTGCGATTAGAGATAGGAGTTGGGAAAGCTATTTATGCCAAGCAAGATAATTTTGGAACACTTTATGACAGGAAAAGAATTGGTTTATTTAAGAATGCTTGTAGAGTCAGGAATATAATAACAGTTAAGACTTCACCATTCTTTTCCTTCAAAAAGTCTCATAGAGAGAGTGAAGGCTGTGTGATAGGTTAATATTGAGACATTTTCCTGAGTATAATTTTCTATTAACTTTTGGGTACAGAATATGAGTTGATTAGGAGTCCTGGCTAATGTCAGAGAGTTATGTGTTTGAAAACTGTGACTGTTAATTGCTAATATTCCTCATTAAGGAGTTTTTAGCTGTTTTTATTTTTTTAGATTTTGTTGCAATGTAGTTTTTTTTACAGCGTGTTAGTTTCTGCTATACAGCAAAGTGACTAAGTTATACACACTTATCTTTTTTTAATGAAATTTTTTTTTTTTTGGTTGCACTGGGTCTTAGTTGTGGCATGTAGGATCTAGTTCCCTGACCAGGGATTGAACCCAGACCCTCCTGCATTGGGGCCACAGAGTCTTAACCACTGGACCATCAGGGAAGTCCCATATATATATATATATGTATCTCCTTTTTCATCTTCTTTTCCATTACAGTTTATCATATGATATAGAGTATAGTTGCCTGTGCTATATAGTAAGAACTTGCATTTTCTTTATTCATCTATGGATGGACATTTAGGCTGTTTCCGTGTCTTGTTTATTACAAATAGAGCTACTATGAACATAGGCATGCATATTATCTTTTTGAGTTATAGTTTTTGTTTAAAAGAAGTTGAGTATTTTATTATTAAATTGTTTATTCTCCTACAAGGCTGTTGCTTCACTGTATAAAAATAGCACCAGCAAACACAGTATATTGCAAAGTTAAGACAGTAATATTCTTCACTGGACACTCTACAACTAACAAACTTTTCTCCACTGCCAGTTATTTCTAGTGGGAAGATCATTTTGACCCAAATCCAAGGATAGCTGTAAACAAGTTACAATGTCATATAAGGTATAAGATAACCATGTTATCCTTGAATTACATAATTTTTGTAATTAGTTTTATCAGAGATAATTTCAGGAATTCTGAATATTGTAACTGGAGCCTAGCCCACAGGATGCTGTGGAAAAGATACGCAGTGTTT